GTGAGGGTTTTTAAAACATATCCAATTTGTATTGACTTAAAATATAAGATCGTTTGTCGTTCTTATAAAGATATCCGAGTCGCCCCATTTTTATATGTAGTATGTATAATAAATAAAATTTCAAATCCTCACTACTATTTTTTTTTAAATTAGAGGATTTAGTTTTGTTTTATAATTACTCATACATACTTTGAACCTCCTTATTTTAAATCAATATAAAATATTAATCAATGACCAAAAATCTAAGGTAGGTCAATTATCCATGTTCTCTATATATTAAGGTACTGTTGTACAAGTTAACTACCCACATGATCAAAACATGAATAAAACACAAAGATTTACAAAAATAAGGAGACTTAATAAATTAAAGACTCTTAGCTATTACGGTCATGTCTTCAGTTTCAATCCAACAAGGACTTTTCCAACAATCTGAGATGAACCCAGCTACATCCATGTTGCACTTCGACTTATTTTGGGGATCAACCTTTATCTTTTAGGCAGAGTGCCTATTGTCCAACGTCACTTCAACGGCTGAAATTGATGCCACCCCATGTGTTGAAATAGGCACCGATCATATCTGATTGGATACACCTGAGTGCTCATTTCAATAAAAATTCACGCCATTGACTCTATTAGGTGTTCAACCCTTTGATTTGAGGATGCAATTTTTTATTTATTTTTGAACTGTTTAGTGGAATAAAATGGAGACCATGATTTTCTTTCCTGAAATTGGGTATTAGGGGAGGAAAGAGGCAATTGTCTGTGGAGGAAACTCAAGATTGGCTTTCGCTTACAAACTGTTCCATAAATTGTCTGTGTAGGAGTCTCTCTATTTCGAACCTTGATGCCTTGTGAAATTTGTTGTAAATTGTTATAAATTGATGGAGAGTTTCTACTTGAGAATAAGTTTATTGATATAATTGATGGAGAGTTGATCTGTAACTATTATGCCACTTTGTAAAGTTGATATGCATTTTTGAGTGCTCTCAGTTTGATTAAATGATTGGTGTAAAGGAGACTTGAAATTGTTTGTATCTAATTCCATGGATGATCTAATTCAATGAGTTCCCAAGAAGACAGTAATAATGTGTTTATATTAGGGTTTAAAGTCAAACTTAAATTTTTAGTCCTTTAATGAACAAACTACATGTGCACATAGTTTCAGGAAGAAAAAAACATTATATTCCCAATACACATATTAATTTATCTATGTAGAGAGAGAAGACCTTGATGATTATGTGACATTTGACGTTTCCATAATCTTGCCATAAACCAAGTAATAGTCAAACAATTCTTCGTAACTTTCAAACATCATCCCAACCTTAGGTTCTTCCATTTCGTCATCTACATTGACTACATTCTCATTTTCAATCTCAATATTTTCTTCAATCATTTGAAAACTAGATGAAGATTCTTCTTCCATTCCAGTATAATTTAACCCCAGCAAGAGCCTTGCCAATTACTGAGAGATTTGTCCAACGCAAAATACGCCTGAACATCAAAATAAACGAAATATATTTACACTCCAAAATCACCCACAATCATAAATGAATAGACCATTAATAGCCTTGCTAAATGAACTAAAATTGGGTTTGAGTGATGTATTGTATAGGTGTGGCGTCGTTTCCAAAATTGGTTCCAATTGTGATTTTATTGTATCCAACGGGAGATTGGGAGATGAAGTTGAACATGTGAATGTTTGCCCCAAGAAAACTAATTAAACATTTTTCACTTTAACACACAAACACACGCACACATGCACACACACAAGGAAAGAGAGACAGGAGAGCGGAACTTGTTTGAGTTCATCATCATTTTGTTGTTAACTTTGTTCATGTTGCTTATGTCCATCATCTTCATTAACTTTGGTTTCTCTGGCGGTTTCAAAGCCGTCGGAGGCGTATCTAGACAACTCTTTCATCGTATCATCGTTTGACTCTATAGCTGATTTTGGTTTCAAAACCGTTTCAGATATGGGAAGAATTTGTATGTGTAAATCTCCATTTCAAATTTCTGTCAAGTAGGTATGATAATTGTTTTCCAAATCAATTTGTGAAACTACTACAATAAAGGTAATTTAGTAATAAAAAAATAAAGAACCAAAAAAATGATTTAACTACTTATCAAAATATCAAGCGTGGAACTTTGTCACAAATATGTTATCAGTCTCCTAAATAGGACTAACCCCTTATTTTTTGGGAAAAAAATGTTGAGTCGTGACCCATTTCTTTGTCTTTTGTCATCTTCTTTTCAAAAACAAGCAAAGTTAAAAAAAAAAAAAGGAACGACGCCTCCTGCACCACTGCACCAACAACATCACTTGGGAATTTGGAAACTTGGAGATCAAGAGAAAAAAGAAACATTTCATTTTCTCTCCTCGCTGCATCTTATGACTGTCGGACTATTGTGACTCTCCTATTGTAAGTCTTTTTTTTTTGGGGAAAAACATCATTTTTTACATTTATGTGTTTAACCTAGGGTTCCAGTGTAATTTTTTGGCTTATTAAGTTGTGAATTAGGTTACAAATTTTTAGAATTGTATTGGTCTCTCTTGATTGTTTCAAAAAATTGACCCTGAGTTTAACCTTTTTTTGAAAATTGGCGTTTTTCTTTAACTTTTTTTGTGTAAAAAGTTATAATTAACGTCTTTTTATTTATTTTTATTTGCATAGAATATATATACTGACTTTAGGAACTTTTATGTTTAATGAATCTTTAAGTATCAAATATGATGTAAAAAAATATAAACATATCACATTATTTTTATCTATTAAAGGACAAAGTAAAATTTAAAATTAAAATATGCCCACTCTAAATCATATTCCTAGCTTCGTCACTGCAAGTTACCATGTTATACAAACGACAAAGTAAACTGCAAAAAAAAAATAAATAAATCACATTACACTAGTTCAATTAAAACAAATTTCAAAATTTATGATCAATTGAGTTTAATCATTCACCATTAATTTAATTAAGATTCATAACTTTTGAAATTGAGAATATCCAAATAAAATAGAAAGAAGAATGCTATTGAGACATAATTTTAAGATTCAATAATGCTACGCTAACCAAAATTAGAGTTCAAATGATATGGGAGCCTAATCAGCCTTCCAAATCAATTGTCATGTCATTTAGTAGACAATATTAATAGTAATGTTACACTGACCAAAATTACAGCCCAAATGAGATGGCAGCCTAATCAACCTTCCAAATCAGTTGTCATGTCATTTAGTAGGCAAGATTAATATTTAATTAATATTTAGGTCAAAATCTTTTCGTCTTCTCCGCTTCCACTATTAGATACCCAGACCCACCCGCGTGTCTCTCTCTCTCATTCTCTTCGCACTACTTGCGACCTCTTTCTCTCTCCACACTTCCTGTTATCTTTGTCATGGCTCAGTAGCCCACCATTGGTGTTCAGAACAGAGAGAAAGAGAGAGAGAGAGAGAGAGAGAGCATTTTGTGAGTAGTTTTTTTTGTACGTAATTGAGAAAAATAGGTGTAAGCTCTACTTTAGGGGCTTTGTCAATGGCAGAGCTTTGGGTGGGCATATGAGATCCACATATTAAATCTCTATGTTCCTCCAAAACCAGAGCAAGAACAACCCAATAACCAACTCGGTGAAGAGATTGAGTCAACAAAGAAAATAGAATCAGAGAGAGAGGGGGAACTGGCCATGAAGAGAACAGGATCGGGAGTCTTGGCCCTACCTACAGCATTGACGGAGTCCTCGATTTTGTGAAAGAGCATTTGCTTGTCAATTTTGAGAAAGAGAGAGAGAGAGACGAAGGTGGGTCTAATGGGTATCTGACAATGGAAGTGGGGAAGACAAAAAGATTTCGGCCCAAATATTAATCAAATATTAATCTTAACAAATCAGTTCAAAAAAAAAAATCATTCGTAAATCATAGGGTTGTTGTTATGTTGCAGGACAATGGGCAGGCACTCCGACAAAGAGAACGACTTGGCTTGTAGGGAGAGAGAAAGGAAAAGAAGGGAAGAACACCAACGAAGATGAAGACGAGGGGAAGAACATCGGCGTTGATGGTTTACTGCTTATGGCTGGTGTCAATTTTAGGTGAATTTTTCCAGTGAAGATGCTTGTATTTCATTCTTTGTACTGGTTTGAGGAGAGAGAATGTGAAAATAGGGCTAAGTTGTTGATTTTTTAAGTTATTTTTATTTTAAGAAATTAGGTGGCTTAAATTGCTAAGTTGGTAAGGACAAACTGCCACATCATCAAGTCACTTATTTAAGTCTAAAAGTTAAGTCTCAATAGCATTACCTCTCACAAATGCTCTTTTTCTTTCTCTCTCTCTTGAACACCAATGGTGGGCTACTGGTCCATGACAAAAATAGCAAGGAGTGTGGAGAGAGAAAAAGGTCGAAAGCAATGCTAAGAGAAAAAGAGAGAGAAAAGTAGGTAGGTCTAGGTATCTGACAATGGAAGCGGAGAAGACAAAAAATTTTTGACTCAAATATTAATTAAATATTAATCTTGCCTACTAAATAACATGACAGCTAGTTTAAAAGATTAATTAGATTGTCATGTCATTTGAATTCTAATTTTAATCAGCGTAACATTATTGTTTAAGATTTAATGAAGATGATCATTAGATTGTCAATGAATTCTAATATTAAATGCACTCTATTATTAATATAATGATCATAATGCATTAAATTTTGGAATTATGCCTATGTCCTAATAACATTAGTGAAAGAAAAATAATCCCACGGATTTGTCGCTTTTTCCAGCTATATCCTCCATTGATGGATGGTCATAGAAACCCCGCGTGCTTATCGGTCCTTTAATACCAAATTAACCCAACGTATATATCCACCCACGTTCAACCGCATGCATGCACCTCCCTCCACCTTCTCTCTACAACCCCCCCCCCCCCCCCCCCAAATTCTTTCCATCCCCTAGAAAAAAACCAACAAAATTTTTTCTATAACCAATCATCAACCATTATTTCCGTCATTTTCATTCTCACCCAACAATGGAAGACGAGAGAGATACCTCAACTCTCCGGTCTCGGCCCAAGAAATCGTCAATGAGCCTTTCTTCTTGCTTCCATGGTGGTCACCGCCGTCTCGAGTCGTTTGAGTCATTGTCATCGTCTCCAATTCCGAGCTCAATAAGGTCACCGGGTGCGTGGTTCAGATCGAAAGCCCACGAAGTACCGGAGATCAAAGGGAAGTGCAAGAGCTTTATCCCAAAAATGGGTCGTTACCGCCGCCATTCCTCGGCAGATTTCAGCTATGATCCTTTAAGCTATGCACTCAACTTTGAGGATGATGAGGCTGCTGAGGAGCCACCCACGAGGAATTTCTCGACGAGGTTGCTGTCGTTGCCACAGACGCCGAGAAGGCTTGCGGATTTGCCCATTCCGAAGACGGCGGAGCCACGGCGGAATGTGGAGGGGCCGACGACGACAGAGGTGCAGAAGAGTATCAACGTGGCGACCCCGAGGAAGGCCATGGTGGAGGGGAGGAGGAGTGACGAGTTGAAGACACCAAGGGCGGTGGCGGTGGAAGAGGTGAGGAGGAGCCTTGAAGAGGAGGCGCCGGTGGTGGTGTCTCGGCCGCCGCGGGAGGTTATGGTTGAAATATGTTAGGGTATGGTTGTTTTTCAGAGTATGACGTGTTTGGGATGTACTGGTAAAACACACACTAATCTTCAATAATGAATACAAATGGCCAAAAACAATTTTTTTTATTTGCTTTTAACATATGCCTGCAGACACTAAATTTATCATGACAAATTCTAAATTTATCATAGTTTTCTATTGCTCTTGTTTGTTTGATATTATTTTGATTTGTTGTCTTATAATCTTCTTAATTATGGAAATTAACTACAAGTAGGAGCATGAGATGTAGTACTGCTAGGGAGTTCCAATCATCTCGTATTGTCTATTAGTGCTTTGAGTATCCATTTGATGATGACCACAAGTATGCTGTTTTTGTGTAACAATTTCATATTTTTTCTTCCTATTGTTGCTTTTTATTTTATTTATTTCTTTTTTATGTAAGCTCTGCTCCATTGTATCTTGCATCTACCGAATCCTCTGAATTTGCTTAAGCTACAAGGGAAAAGTTTGATCCAATATAGTCGTACTAGTTATTGTTAATGTATGAAGATACAGAGTAATAAAAAATGGTAAACAATAAACATATTTGTATTCATATCAAAAATCAAATCACAAATATAGAGAAGAGATAAAAGAATTTAAACATCAATTTGTAGGGGGGTGAGAGATCGTGGGCAGCAGTAGTGGTGGTAGGAGACGTGAGATTGTGGTGGGTGGCAATGACCGTGGTGGCGGTGGTGGCAGCGAGGGGCGGCGGTGATGGTGGTGGTGGTGGAAGCGATGACGATACTGGTGCTAGTGACGGTGACAGTGGTGGTGGTGGTGGGGGTGGAGGCGGTGATTGTGGTGGCGGTGATGGTGACAATGGTGGTGATGGCAGTGGCGGTGGTGGCAGCGATGACGATGGTGGTGGTGGTGGTGGCGACAATGGCGGTGGCGACGGCGGCGGCAGTGGTAGTAGAGGTAATGGTAGGGCGGTTTCAAACACTATTTTTAAAAATAAAATATTTATGAGAAATAATTTCTAAAAATATTTTTAAAAAATCATTCTAAATACATCCTTAGGGCCATATTTTTCTTATTAAATTTAGAGTGTTAATATTAGCCGATAGATTAACTTTAAAGTAAAATTTAAAGGAATCTCAACCGTAAATAGTACAAATAATTTTATTTATTTTTTAAAATTTGAATTGTAAATATTTTATTTTATAGATGATAAGCATTAAAGGGGTGCATAATTAGACCACTTAATGATTTCAATTAGTACCAACACGTGACCAAGACAAGCACATGACAACGGACCCTAAACAAATAGACCCTAAGTTGACTCTGCCAAAGATGAAAATTTAGCTAAAGATTACTTGGTTATTTCAAGAAATTAGAAAAGATAAGGATCTGATAAGAAAATTGCCCAAGTTGTGGGTAAACAAAATAAAAGGTGGGCTAAACGAATAGGCTAACCAAGAAAGAAGCCTAGGAAGGCTCCAACACGAACTGCAAGGAATTCGTCTAAGATGAAGGTGTGGCACCTTGAATAGCCAACGGCGGAAACCCTAGTAGAAAGGCACCACAAACCACTATAAATATCACATATTGTGTAGTCTAAAGTACATACCCTTTTCTTTGCAACTCTTGTTTATTCTCAGAATTTTACTGATTTAAGTATCAGAGTGCCTATAACCGATCCCACCTAAGTCTCTAGTAGTGTTCTCGTTTTGCAGGAGGAAGGTGCACTCACATTCATCTCTCCCACATACCTACAAGGGCGAAGTCAAGATTTCATTTTAATGGGGACAAAATACAGATAAAAAATTGTTACTCGTTAGCAAACAATATTTTTTAAGTTTAATCATGAAAAATATGAGAAAATCCAGACTATATTACTATATGAAAAAAAGAAGTCAGTATCAATCAGACATCAAAGCAAAATAGAATGATTTTCTAATCCAAAAAATCATCTATAGTGTATTCTATGTTAAATTCTTTAGTAGTTTCTTTCAAGGCAAACAATGAAAGAGTCCGTGAGATTATCCTTCACTTATCACGAATCATAGCTGAGATCGTCATCTATTTGTTGCCAAATCGTATTATTAAATTAGGCCAAACTTCATCCCATAAATTATGTCCAACACGAGAGAGGATACAAAATTATATATGTCAATTGATTGTAGGTGTTTATTGGATAATTTTGTATGTATAATGACTCCAATGGACCTTTGGATAATTTTGTATGCATGTTAATGGACCTTCGGTCTAATAATATTCTTTATCTTGTGAAAATTTTGTTTTCTCGAGGTTAAAAGTTGAAATCTCCCTCATTCTCTCCCCAAATAAATAAAAGGGTTAATTACAAAATACCCCTTTTAACTTTGGGTATTTTTGTCAATCACTTCTTCACATTTTAATTCAACAAATAGTCCTCTTTAAATTTGAATATTTTACAATTAACTCTAACAGTTGATTTTAGACCATAAAAAATTGTGGAAGTTAGACATGCAAAATTCATTCAATCTTTATTTTGTTGAAAAGATATAACTACCTCTAGAAGTATACGTGCATTGATGTTGGGTGGAGGTGGAGGCAAACGTGGTGTTGCGTCGCATGTTGGTGTTGCATTGAATGATGTATTATTGTTTGGCTTTTTTGTTTCCTAATTTTTTTTAGGGATAAAATTGACAAAAGTTGAACAGATTTATTATTGTTTTGGCTTTTCTATTTCCTAATTGGTTTTAGGGATAGAATTGGTATCTCATGAAAAAAAATATCCAAGAAATAATATACAAGATGGAGTATTTTCATGGTCACTGTTATTAGTCAATTTAGTCCACTTGAAATTTGGAGGCGACAAATTGCAATATTTGAAACTGCAGGAAGCTAATTATAACAAGGGGCATAGTTGAAGGGGGTAAATTGTAACTAACCCATAAATAAATAATGACTCCAAACTCATGTGACTTTTGAGGTCATGTTTATCATTTATCAAGTAATTTGTTATAGTTATTATTTTGTTTAACCTCTAACCCTTATTTCCATACAACATAGCTTAATAAATTAGCTATGTACCTGCATTTTGGGATCCCAAAATGTCAAAGTTTTATTTTTCAAGTTTAATTATGAACTTAAAAACTCGAGTTGATAATCATAACCATTGAATAAATAGTGGATCCCAAAAAATGCTGGAACTTACAGTGAAATTAATGGTTGTAATTATCAAATCTAATTTTTAAATTCATATAACATTGCTGCTAAATTTATTATGATCATTAGATAGATAGTTATCTTCATTCAATATTGAGATCCATTGATAATCAAATAATTACGATTATTAAGTCTTAAAATTATATCTTTATAGTTTATACCATTGCACTATCAGATAATGAAGATTGGTTCCATCCACGTATAAGATTTGTACCACAAACTTTTTGCATACACAACTTAAAAAAAAAAAAAAACTAATAGTAACAATAACAATTTTCTTTAAAAAAAATGAAATTTCTTGAAAATAATAACAACTTTCTTAAAACTTTGACATTTTGGGATCGAAGAATTAACTTTCAGTCAATCTATAGATTCGACATTGATAATCTACAATGAGATACACCTTTTTTTACTCTATTTTTCGGAGGTAAATTTGAAGTAGGTTACTTATGTATACGATTTGATGGATAAATTAATAAGTTTTATTTTTTTTTTTAACATAGAACTGGTTTCTATCCTAGTGGCAAACTGCTATAGTTAAACATTTATTGTAAATATATTATAAATATTGTAATTAGTGGATGACTCTTAATAATATATATCATTTAGTGCACCTATGTAAAGATGTATTAGTGGGTGACTCTATACTTCCCTCTCTTTGATTACCCAAAGTTAATTTTGTATTTGATGGTCATTATGATTGAAGACCTATAAAAGGAGGTCTTCACGCTACGATGATAGATATAAGTTAAAAACTCCTTCTTTAGCATTTCTATATTCAATTGTCTCTTTACAATCCTATGTTTTATATCCTCTTGCTTTTATAATATGTTATCACCGCGACACTCTAACCACGAGGAAGAGACTTCATTTCTTTGTGCATGGACCGTAAAGAATAAAATGAACATTATTTATGATTGTTCAATTCTAAGACGATGGTGAAGATGCATGTCTAGCAGACAATGACACAATTCACTTAATTTTTCGAGATAAATTTTTTTTCTCCAACTCAACTTTAGTTAAAGCTAATGTAAATAAAATATCAAGATATGCAAACCTCATCGAAGGCTCCAGAAGAACTATTATCGTGTTACTGAATGGAATAAAAATTCATATCATTAGCGCTTTATATTCAATCAGATCTAGAATTAAATTTCAAAGATATACGTCATAATGGAGTTCATATTGAGACTGAAGGATAACAATGAAAAATACCCAATATTACTTTACTTGTTTCCAGCATGAATCTTATATTAGAGAAACTTTATGCTTTTTCCTCTAGTTTGTACTGTACAATCATAAAAATAATTGAATCAAATAATGTGATGAGCCCAAAACTTTTTAATCCAAAGTCTTTTGTACTTTAGCATGATCATCTTGGTCATCTTAGGTTAATAATGATACGTCGAATTATCAATAACTCACATGAACATCCTTTAAATAACCGAAAGATTCTTTTGTTAGTGATTATCCATGTATTGCTTATTTACAATGAAAATTGGTTATTAAACCATCTCCCGCAAAAGCCAACATTTAATCACTAACCGTTTAACAAAAAATCTAAGGGTATATCTGTGAACATATTTACCCATCATGTGGATCATTTTAATATTTTACGGTATTAGTTGATGCCTCAACATGGTGGTCATATGTTTTTTATTATCTACTCGAAATGTTGCTTTTGCCATTTTTCTGTCTAAATAATCCGATTACGAGCACAATTTTCAAATTACCCAATCAAGACAATTCATCTTGATAATACTGATGAATTTATATCTCAAATATTTGATGATTACTACATGTTTGTTGGGATCGATGTGGAGCACCCAGTCGCTCACATCCATACCCAAAATAGTTTGGTCAAGTCTTTCATGAGACAATTTCAATTGATTGCTTGACCTTTACTTATAATATCTAAGTTATCCATTTCTATTTAGAGGCGTGCAATATTACATGTAACAACTTTAGTTCATATCCGACCAATTACTTATCATTAATACTCCCCAATACAATTTGTACTTAGTTAACCCTTAAATAGTTTTCGCTTACGAACATTTGGTTGTGTTGTACATGTCCCAATTACACCCCCACAACACACTAAAATGGGTCCACAACGTCAACTAAAAATTTATGCCGAGTATGATTCACATTTAATCATTCGGCATCTTGAACATTTTGACTGGAGATGGTTTTATTGCAAGATTTGTAAATTATCATTTTGATGAAACAATCTTCTTGCCGTTAGGGAGATGAAATCCATCGCATACGAAAAAACAACATAAGCTTTCTTGGACTTAAAAACTATATCTAATCGTAATCCACACAGTCCCCGGTGTGAAACTGAAGTGCAAAAGATTATTCATCTCTAGAGAATTACTAATCAATTGCTTGATACATTTATTAATGCAACAAAGAATAACCAAGTCTTATGTACTAGCTGTGAAAACTCCCACAAAGATTGATGTTCCAGTTGAACAAATTCATGGCAACCAATGAATCATCAACTTTGTAACACTTAAAAGTGTGGACAACTCCTACGTTCAACTACTCTCCGGAAGAAGAGATTAAAAGAGCAATCACAAAATAGTTCATCTATATTAAAAATAAATTGATGCCTAAAGTAAAACTTTAAATGGGGGGTCTTATTAATTTTTAAAATAAATTTTGAGATGTAAATCATTATACAATATCAATTATATTATTGCTTTTGAATTGCGAAACTACTTATCAGCATACAAATTTTATTTGAGGCTTTAAAAAAATTAGGCTTGATTAATTAAGTCTCTTGAGGCCCTAAAAATAAAAGTAGACTTATTTGAATATGAGTTTTAAAAATTTTATTCGGGACTAGAGAATAAAATTAAATTTATTGGGACTTGTGTATAAAAATGTCATTTGGGGTAATAAAAATAAAATTTGACTTAATTAAATATTAATTAAAAATCTTATTTAAGATCCTAAAAATAACATTAGACTTAATTGAGCCTCCATAAAACGGAACCTTAAAATGGTGGTTTTAATAGCTATGCCATTGAGCTGGTCCTGCTTCTCTTTCTTTCTCACGCACACAACACTCTCTCAAATGTATTTCTATCACGCTTGAAAATTTGTAGGATCTCAATTGATCAAAACTTTAGATAAAACAAAGAAAATACGAAATTTAAAGAAGGGACAAAAGAAGCCAAAAAGGCGTAGCAAAGGAGACTACTGTTATTCACGAATTGAGTTGGCTGACATACTTGACCGTTATAGTAATTTTTTTTTTCGGTTCAAATTGGTTAAAAGTGTTCGGATCAGTTTATGCGCATCTTGATTAATCCCTTTCTGATCCGGGTTGAACGCAAATTATTTACATTTGAACTAGGAAATTCATGAGAGATAAATCTCTCATAAAAGATCTGACCTTAAGAAGTTGTCAAAATTCAATCTCAGAATGTTTAGATTTATAATTCGTCTTTTTTATCATTTGAACCACGCTTGAGATTACCGTTAAAGAAACTTAACAATCCTACTCATATTAGACTTCAAACAAAGCTATTTTTTTTTCTAATAGAATAATAATCCCACGTGCACTAGGATACCTAAATTAACTAAAAATCTAATAGCAAAATAATAAAGAATAATAATTCTACGTGGACTAATCCCACGAGGACTAGGATACCTAAACTAACTAAAAATCTAATCACAAAATAATAAAGAATAATAATTGTATCTGAACTAATCCCATGTGGACTAGGATACCTAAACTAACTAAAAATCTAAAAGCAAAATAATAACAAATGAAGAATAAGAAACTTAGAGAATGTGGGTTAAACTGCGACAAAACCTAGCACCCATTAGAGATAAAACATCAGCTGTAGAAGACATGGAAGATTACGAGGAGAATGATTCAAACCGTGCATGCAGTCCTTGTGGATGTTCATGGCAAGTTTGCTTCACAAGTCACCCCAATAACATCGGATCATACATACTCTTGCCCAAGCAGCAACAATGGGAGGGGTCCAAGATGATGATAGTGAGGCAGATCTCTCAGACGTTGGCGCGGCCTAAATGGAAGAATTTTGTTAGAAGGTTTAGTACTAGTATTGTGAGTGACCAGAACAAAAGAGGTTGGAAGAATTTTATTACTAGTGCGAGTATTGCGAGCAACAAGAAAAGAAGAGGTTGGAAGAATTTTATTACTAGTGCAAGTATTGCGAGCAACAGGAAAAGAAGAGGGCAGTTTCATTACGATCCTCGAAACTATGCCCTTAATTTTGATGATGGCACTGATATAGAAATAGACCGTGCATGGCCTAATACCGCGGCTCAACTTCCAGCCCCGCAGCATAACACAAGAACTTTGTAACGAGTCTGGATCATGCTGTTGTTTGGTTAACGTACACATTTTTGATTCTTTTGTTTCGTTGTTGATGTAACATTACAATTTTGATATGAAATCAAAATAGATAGGGTTTCAGAAAAAATTTCATTGTCTTTCTTGTTTCATCCCTGAGGACTACTCGTCAAAGTTACTTTATACCATGGGAGTGTTAAGAATAGCAAGAAAAAAGCATTGACAAGAAGACTATAAGCATCTAGAAATCCATATCTGCAACGACTACAAGATTCTAATTCCTTTTATATCGATATTTGCCACAAGTTTAACACTAAATGACTACTACAGCACAATGGCAATAGAAACAATAACCATAACTGTAACGGTAACCATGCAGCAAGAGACCATTACACTGTACACCATCACCCGATTCGTATTTTATTCACGAAATATCAAAAGGCTAAACAAAAACGATGAATCCTCAACGGATGGGTAGCGATTCACGTCAACTATCATCATATATACTTTAAAATTGAACTTTCTAACCACACTGCACCATAAGAAACAGGCCTTCTACAGTCCTTGGGGCATACCTGTTAACGGGCACATATCAAATTCTTTGTCATCATCAGCTCATCCACAATGTTAAGCCCTTTTATACGTAGAAGCAAGATATATGATGGTTCAAGTGAAAAACACATTTCCATGCAGTAGTATGTGCACTGATGTTTGACGTATAACTCAAGTGTGAATCACAGAGGTCACATGAGAGAAGTTTGCCATCTGGATCAGTTGTTCATTTCACATAAAACGATCGCCACTAGTTTCACCTGCATTACTTCTTTTCCAAGTAAGAGTTGGTGAAAAGCTCTTGAAAATTGTCAAGTAACAAGAAATATGCTAAAATCAGATACCTTTTGCGTTTGCTCTTAATGACGGTAGAGGTGGAAGGATTACTATGCCAGTTCCTCTTTCTCTGATTGATGAACCAATTATTTATCTGCTTTAATTGCAAGCCTGTTTCCTGTACCAATCTTGCTTTATCTTCCTCCTGGAAAGGCACAAATTAACCGCGATAATTTGAGGTAATAAGTCAAAAGTGCGTAAGCAATTTGGTTATCATGAGCTTCACGAATGTTTCCCAATTATCTATTGAGGAAAGCCATTTAAAACCCAAAGATTGTGAATCTATGAAGTGCAGTTAAACAACCAAAGCAAACACGGGGCTCTTGTCACTTGAAGATGACCACATGAGGGCAAACTTGTCCTACACTATGCTCCATGCACAGCTAGAAAAGTGCATTACATTACCAAAACATGGAGTAGTCAACATATAGAACTGCCTTTTTGGAGTATGTCACCAAGCCAAACACAACGAAAATTATGATAACCTGACACTTACTGTTGGGTATGGCCACTTGGCATGTGTTTGCCACCAAGCTTTTAAGGCAGAAGTGGTATCACCAGGAAGCTTTCCTGCTCTCCTCTTGCGTAAAATTTCCTCCCTAATGTCCACGATTTTCTCCTTGTAACCCTTCAAAAAGGGGGAAAAAGAAGAATTTTAGTTGATGCTGACAACAAAGATACAAAAAATACATTTCAAATGTTTAGTCCCTCACCTGCTTCAGTTCATGCTTCAGCTCTTGCCTTACGCGCTCCATCAATGATCTCTCACTCTCTGTAGGGATGAGAGGACCAAATCCCATGCTGTCAGGACCCTCCAAACTTCCATCAAATAGGTTCACATCACTGTCTACCTGGTCATCATCATCATCAGACATTGTTGCACCAGTGCCTTCTCCTGGTGACACTCCTGTTCACGTAGCATGCAAAAGCAACATTATCGGTTAGTATTTCGTGGTTATCTGGTTCATAATCTTGACACAGTTAAACCAACCATTAGCATCTCAGCTTGAAGCATTCCTCAAAGAATTTAGAATTCAAAGACGGTAAAAAAACTGCAGAACAAGATAGGTAATAAATCATCTCACAGAAAACTGGTAAAAAAAGAGTTTGCTAAATAGGAATGTCAGAACTAATAAAGTGGAGAAGATGTTCTTGCAGTCAATATATCAAGGTTTACCACGGCAAAGTTATCTAAATAGCCTCCTAACCTCATAAGACTGGCTTAAAGTTGCAGGGGAGTGATATTATGAAATTTTTAGGGTACATTCCTGTATTTCACAAAATGTTAGCATCCATTGATCCCAGCTGCAATAAATTTGGGTTATGTGGTAGAATTTAGTGGGTGTGAGGCGTCTGCAAATATAAGTTCTACCAACCCCTCAGTTGAATTTTGCTTCCATTGACATGGTTACCCTACTGAACCACATTAGGTTTTGCTGGCTTGTTCATAGTTTTTTTGCAGCTTTCTATTTACTTTGTAGTTGGTCTCAGAGCATTTATTGATTATTATGTGGAGAGACTAAGCCACTGGACTCAGGAACAGCAAGATAAGAACCTGATATCAGTTCAACACGAAATAGAGCCGACATTATAACTCTACGTTCACCTTTTTTGGATTGAGAAATAGATTCGAGTTGTTCCTTCAAGATTAAAAAAAAAAACAGCAGAACGCCACCCCCATCTTAGGCCTCTGTAAGAGAATTACCCCATATCTATGGTATATCTTGTTCCATTTTTATTTTGACGCCAGATGTTTCTAGAATTAGAAATTTGGTCTTCCAGGAAAGCTTATAAATAGTAACAATCGAAGTTTCTGACGGTGAAAAACTAGAAAAGCAGAAATTAACATTTAAACCTTGAGAACATATTGTTTTCTTGCTTAAGGCACACCAATGGACAGAGGGAGTAAAATGAAACTTCACCTGTTAAGCTCTGTAGGGATTGCTCAATCTCCCAGCAAGCCATAACTGCTTCCATTGCATGGACACGAACATGTTGTTGCAGTTGTTCTTTAAAAGAACAAAGCAACAGAACATAATGTGTCTACATTGTAAAGTGGAGAGAGAGAAAAATAAGTCACAGACATCTTTGTTTCAAATGAACAGTTCTGTACATAAAAAAGCTTCACTTATAGCACACAATGTAGTCAGTTTCTGGCAAAGACAAATGCTAAAAAAGATAAGTACTGCACGAGAAAAACATAAATGGAAGCATTGCAAGTATATTTTGCAGTTTTCCCAGTATACTGAAAAGGAAAAAAAAGGTCATCATATGGTCCACAGAATTGCCATAGTTAAACTATAAGCTAACCTCTGAAAGAAAGAAATCCTAATCATTCATTTGATTCCACCGATTGATTCTTATATCTTTTTAATATAGGAAAATCTACAGTTCAAATGTACCGACTTACAACTTCACATCTGTCATAAAAACGAAGATTCAAGTGTAGGCTAATTTCTTCTGGATCTGAACATCAAGGTAGGTAACCTCTCAATTCTCGAAGGTTCAAGTTTATCAGGATTACAGATGTAGGTTTGGAAGCTATCTTACCCAGGGTTCCATTGGCAAATTGGACTTTCGGGTAATAAAAGCAACAGGAAAAGGAAGCTGAAATTTTAAGCCCAGGCAATTCAGTATGTTTCTTTAATATGGAGCCATATTAATCTTACTGAAAGCAAACATCCACAAGAGTCCCTTCACATGCTTGCTTCCCGAAAGCAATTAATAAATTAATAGGGAACTTTATGGTTGATGTACTTTACCATCAATAGCAACCCACATCTAAGCAAACTTTTTATAGAACAGCAAACGATTGACAATGCATAATTGGTTACAATAAATCACACATTTGCTGTCTCAGATGAGTAACAGACACACTTCTTCATATATTTTTAGATATCATTATCAAAGTTAAACAGACAGAAAAGACAACGAAAACAAGTGGAAAAGAAAGTTTCATTCAGCGTATTTCACTTTCTAACAACTCCCAACAAAGAGTGATTTTTTTCACCATTGTAATTAAACCAACTGCATTTTTAAATTAGTAAGAAAGGCAATGTGATTAGCGAGCCATGTCTCATTATATGAAGACACTTGTTTGATATGAGGCTCCAACATCACGACTAAAACATGGCCCACATGGAACCCACGGAGCACCAAATTGTATAGTCTGCTGAATTTTGATATTTAAAAGCAAGTGAAAGTTGAAATAATATAACATTTTTTCAATTATAGTCACAACAATATAATGCATCAAAGCACTAAATGTCACGAATCCTGACACACTGTTGAACTCTGACCATTAAGCTTAAGTTTTCACAATAATCTAACAAAAACAAGCAATAAATTTCAGCTAAAATGAAATTGGAATAGGAGAATGAAAAAGGATGACAACTCTTTCTGCACGTTGTTCTGTATATCTTTGCTACATGTCAATCTCAAAAAGTACAATTTATGATAGAAAATACAAATTGAGAAACTTTTCTACCTCAGCATCTATCAGAAATTGATGCAAGTTGTTTTCATAATAAATTCCACAAAGCCTTTTAGATTGCAGGTTTATCTCTCAGAATAATTGTCTTTTCTTCTACCAAGAGAGACAGAGAAACCCTTTCACTATTAAGAAGTTATGTTCAAGCTATTCTTTAAGCTTGACCACTTGATTGAAAAGAGCATGCAAGATATATGCTACTCAGTCCAAGCTGCATAGTCAATTTTCTGATAGGGACTCTTAATAGCCAACCAATTTTGATGCGCCTCTATTGAATAAATCAACCTCAGACAGAAAGTAGACCTTCTGTACAGCATTGAGACATACTCTTACTTATATTTGGTTCAACTTCTCTAGATAGGAAACAGTACAAAGCATCCTTATGATTTCTAGACATGTTAAACCAAAAGAAAGGCAATTCATTGCATGCACTAAACATGCTTGAGATGTAAACCAGAAAGGATGAATGAATCAGTTTTCATTTCTCTATAGGAATTCAAAGAGTTATAATATGACTGAACTGAACATCACAATACAAAAAAATAAAATAAGTTGAATGACATAAAACAACTAGAAGCAGAAAATAACCACAAGTGAAGATACTGTGCTTGGATATCTTGAGATGACTTCCAAGCAACGACTTTGCATGTACTTCAGTGGTTAGTTTATCTTCAGAACTTCTCCAACGAAATGGTTTTCTGAACTTCAAATATTATAAAAGGTTGCATCAATGTCACTCTCATGTCTCACAAATTTGCTAAATGCAATTTCTCTTCTCGAAACTCCACAAATACATGCATATTCCTAAAGGCTGCATGCTACATAACTCAAATCACGTCAAATGCAGGTCAGATTTTCTCAACGAGTTATTTAGCAAAAGGACAGGTCAGGTCTCCCAATTACTTTGACTGCTAAGATGTGATTCCACCATCAATGTGATCTTGATAAAAACATTTGACACTTTATGGAAGGTATTGGAGCTGATTAATCTTCTTGTCCACTATAGATGTCAGAGGAAGAGAGAAGTACAGAGGTTGTGCACACCCCAGATTGAGGCTAAGCCTTGCACACACATTTTTGGTTTTTGGTTGATGCTATCGCAATCCTTATTATTTGTTAAACAATTTATCCTCTACCCTCGTGTAGGGCAGTGATTGCAGGGAAAACCAACATAAGCGAGAGGAGTTACACTTCTTAATCAGAGCTTAATTTAGACTAACTGAATGGAAGTCGGTGTCATTTCGTGATTGTGGAGAAAAGCTGTATCATTTCCTTGAAATTCCCCATTACAACTATCTACTCTCACAAGTATACATTTTAAAATTTTCAGAACAAAAATTTAGCAGTAGTTCCATCCCCCCAACAGCCGCTCAGCTATCCTGATGCAACAAGATAGATGAATCATGATGCAACGAGAGATGAATTCGCAAACAAAAATTATTAGAAGGGCCACAATAACCATGATTTTCCCTCCAGAGACTCACAAATATCTCTAAAAAGCCCAGGAATTTTGGAAACGAAGACAATACAATCACTAGGCAATGAATCATATAAAAACAAACTGTATCTCAATCAGAGTCTTAAATTCCAAAAAATCAGAAATGGTACACACAGAGACAGGCCTTAAATTCCAAAAAATAGATGTCACACATAGAAACAGTAAACTACTTCTCGGTCGACATAAATATCATTGACATTTATTAATAGCAAGAGGACACACACAACAACAAATTAGGAGGAAAATTTTAGGCAAATTTAGAAAAAAAAAAAAAAAGAATAAAAAGAAAAACAGAGCATGAAAATTTTACCATGAACTGATCAAGCTCCTTATCATCACCAAGATTAGCATGTCCAAGCGCCGAGTACCTGGCCACTACGTGCTGCGACTGCGCCAGCTGCGCATCAATCCTCGGCAACTGATCTACCGGTGTCGCGATTCGCAAACACGCAACGTGAGCCGATAAAAGCTGCTCGTACAGCGGATGCGCAAGAATTTCTGCTTTGCATCGCGCATTTTGCCAATTCACAACTCCATCCCCACCGCCACCGCCGACGACTTCACTATCATTTAGGTCACCGCCTCCTCCGTGGCTCTCGATGTTTCTGCTGTTATCATTGTTGTTCAAATCAGGCGATTCGTGCGAAATAGCCGCGGCAATCATCGAACCGTTGGATACTTGACCATCGTCCCTCACGTCGCTAATATTCCTCTGCAGAATCGGCCTCGAAAGCCACTGGTTCGGCCCCTGCGACGTCCTCGAGTCCGAATTCGTGTGCAAATTCAAGAAATTTTCCTCTCCGTACTGGTTCTGTTGTCTCAGAATCGCGCTGTTGAGCCACGTCGGACCGACGCCAACCTGAGCCGATTGCTGGTGGTTGTGCTGGCCCGGCGGTTTCCCGGAGGTATCTGTTGAAGATTGGCCGAGCTGTTGGGGCAGAATACTGCGGAGAACGGCAGTGTTTTCAGCGGTTAAGTGTTGGTCTGAGTAGTGTTGTAAAGAAGCCATTTCTTGTGACAAATGGTTCGGATACGCCATGGATGAATATATAAAACTTAACTATGATATCCTTTGTTTTTTTTCGGTAAGTTATGATATTCTTCCCTTCATCATAACCAATTTAGAGAGAGAAACTTCTAGACCCAGTCAGACCTGAGAGAGAGAGAGAGAGAGAGAGAGAACGAGAGTTTGAACAATACCGTACTATTGCACTCGTGAAAGAAGCTATAAGCATATAGAAACTATAGAGACACTGTGTATATATACATATACATGTATAGCCTATAGGGACCAGCAGCAGCTGCTCTGTGTAGTATGTACTCTACAGTATGGAGAGAGAGAGAGAGAGAGCGAGCTGTATGAATAACTACTATATCATATAGAGAGGCGATAAATTCGAAAATTGAATTTAAGAGAGAGAGAGAGAGAGAGAGTAACTTGTAATGAACGTGGAGAAGTGTATACAGAAAAGAACTGGTTTCGGAGAGTGGTTTCCCGGTGAGGAAAACTGCTCGTGAAACCACTTACAAAGAAAATGGGGAATGGGTTTGGTTTATATAGGTGGCTGTATTATATAGACATGTAGGTAGCACAGAAGTAAAAGGTCAACAAAGGAGCTTTTGGGCGTGGACGTATGTGGTTGGACGTTGGATGTGTGGTAGATCAATTGGATCCAACGGTGCAGAACTGTCAACGTGGCTAAATTGTCGTATTGATGACGTTGGACACTAGCGGTTATTATATGGACCAAGTGCGCGTGAGTTCAATTCGGTAAATTACATTTTGATCCGCTTAAGAGTCCCCAATCTCACTTTACCGTTCTCATGGCATCTCCAACAAAGTTTTTTATTTTAACTATTCAAAAATATACATTTTTTATTTTAATTACTCCAACTAATTTTTTATATTTTAACTACTTTTTTTAAATATTATTTTTTATATTTTATACTTTTGTTGGGATGTTGGAGAGAGAGAGAGAGAATGGAGGAAAAGACGGAGGGTGGACAAGAAATGTGAGAAAAGACAAGAGGAGAGAAAAAAAATTATAAAGTATTTATACAAGTTATTACAATGATACTTTATATTTAAAGTATCACCGTAGAAACGCTAGTTTAGAACATCTGAATATATTTTGTTGGAATATAATTTTTGTTATTGGTTAGCTATTTTTAAGTTTTACATGTTCTATTGAATGGAGAACGGAGGAAAAATTAATGGTTATAACGGAGAGAACTAACAAAATGTGTCAATATTATTTGTCAAAATAGCATTTGTTTTCTCACCATATTGTCCTTAACTAAATAAGTTACATTCATATAGCATTAAAACCAATTTTTCGCAAAGTGTTTTTGTAATGTACGCTATTGAGACATGGATGGAAGAAACCGACATTCATATTTGGAAGACAAAATCAAGAACCGTGATAATTGAGTGGTAAGAATCAATAACGAGCCTAGTCAATGGATCGGGCTCAAATATTGAAAAATATACAAACTCACGACTTACTTAACAAGCTAACCTAATGAGTTTGTAACGTATCAACCACCAAGTCACTTTAATGGGCAATAATTGAGTTTTTCTTTAAAAATTGAATATTTATAAACTATTTTAGAAGAAATACATAAATTCTTAAGTATTGTTCCTTTTAAACAAAAACAAATCAAGTTTTCAAGTCCTAAATCAGGTAAATCCATTGAGACATTCGGTCCTAAGAGTCAAGACCCATAGTCTTACCTGTTGTACTAATGAACTACCCATGGTCTGCAACTTGGCAGACCATCGTATAGTCCATTGGCCGCAGGCAATTCATCGACCCTTAATTGAGTGGATAATTTGGAACCAATAGCCTCAACTGAATGTGCAATACAAGAAATATGATGGTTCAAAAGAATAATCTAAGACAACAACATAAGTTAAGGGGTCAAAATGTATTTTGTCACTTACTAGAACATGATTGGCTACGTACAAACCACGAGCCTCGATTGCGCGTGAAAAGTGGTGTTCCATCAACAAACGAAACCTGCTACAAGATATTTAATTAAGTACTAATAAAGACAAGAACATACTAATCATCCATTTGATCATTCAAGTCATCTGTTTTGTTTCTAATTAGAATTGACTAGCAATGTTTGCAAGGTTGAATGATAAAAATTTTTGTTCAATTTACTAGTACTAGGAGTACCCCGTAGAGTTTTTGTTGTGCACGTGTTTCAATCATTGCTCTTGTAACAATTCTTACACGTACGAAATCATGTATATGAATTTAATCGCAATTAGATTTGTACACCATATTTACTTGGTACGAACGAATCCGACACAATTTGACTATTTATGTTACCATTCGTTGATCTAATAAGAACGTGCAAAATTATTTTGAAGTATGTTTTTCAACTTTCAGAGGATACAACTCATAAATTATAACCTTAATAATTTTCCAGAAACACTAAGTATAAAGAAAAATCTCTCCATGAGTATTGCAATAAGAAAATACAAATTGATCAATTTTTTATAATCTTTTCAACTTATGTAAGTTTATAGAAATGATATATGTTTAGGTGACATCTGAGATAATTTATGAAATTCAAATAAACAATAAACAAGTACTTAAAAAAAACATTGCATTAGGATTAACTAGTATCCAAACAGTCACTCGCCTTCTTTTTCTCCAATATCTCTTCCCTTCCTTCTCCCCTCGGTTGTGTTATACTCTTCTTTGTCTTTGTCTTTTTTTTTTTTTTTTTGTTTTATTCTGCTTTTCCTTTACACTTATGATAGCTTTTTTTAAAGACTTATAATAAATAGTATGCAATCGTTGGGCTTATTTAGAACTGATTTTTTTTAAGTGAAAAATTGTGGTCTGAAAATTTTCGTAAAAAAATCATAGTTAAAAAAATCTCTCAAATTTTTTGGATTTTCTTTAAAAAAACTAAAAAAATTGAAAAAATATGTTTATAGTAACTTTTTAACCTTTTGTGTGTTAAAAAAAATTACATGTATATATAGATTATGCATAATAATTTTTAAAAAATAAATTTTAATTTGTTTATTAAAAATATTTTATGGATATAATAAATTAAAAAGTTATGTGGAATTCATAACAAAGCTCCAAAAAATTGAAAGACAAGCACGTAAAATTAATTCTTGAATCAATCTAAATAAGTTTTTTTGGACCCAAAAAAACTGTTACATAAACTGGTAAAAAAACAAATGTCCAAACCTACCTGACGTATTTTGTTCTAAAACCTTTAATGCTTCATTTGGTAGGAAGAATTAAAAGTAGAAGGGATACATTTTTTATCCTTCAAGGAAATAAAGTATAAATAATACATTTTTCTTCCTTTGTCTTTGATAAGATGAATGAAAAATAAAAATAATTAATTTTTTTTTTGTGCTGGCTAAGATTAAGAGTGACAATCGAATATATAATTACATATTTTATTATTATATTTTTATAAAAAATTAATGTATACATAATATATGTATATATCAAAATACATATTTTATTATTGTATTTTCCTTTCTTACCTAACATGATATTTTATTTATTCCTCCAACTTTCGATCTTTTTATTTTTTCATCATAAAAAAAAGAGTCTAAAAATTACCTATTTAAACTAGCTCCAAATAAGTCGGTTGTAAAATTATTAAGAGAGATAGATATTTCTTGTTCGCCTTTAAAATACCATAATAACCATATTTTTTTTTTATCTAAATTACTCATCATCACTTAGACATTCATAACTTTTTATCTAACTATTCTCAATCAGTTGTATGATCTATAAATTTGATTGTAAATCTCTTTTTACTCTCATACATCCTTCACCCTGTCTTTATTTCATTCTTTTGTAATTATACACATGTCGCGTGCGCAGAAAAGAGGAAATGGAAAGACAGAACAACTCAAATCAAAAGTACTGTTATTTGGATTTAAAGTTTTAATTTAATTATATGATATTAATATATCATTAGAATAATAAATGAAATTAATTTTTAAGAACAAATCGACATTATTGAAAAAATTAATGGCAACCATAAAAAGACACGAATTGCGTCGCTCCTCTCTCTCCACCACTCGCGGAGGGACAACGACCCAGACGAGGAGGCACGCTTTAATTTCTTGGACCACATCCCAGGACCACGTCAAAGCTCCCAAAGATGATCAAATCGAAGCCATCCACATGTAATAATCTCAAGCGCCACAGGACCACCTAGAAGTTGACTTGTGGTCCGCCGCCGGCTCTTTCGATGAAACTGCACATGTGGTCCCCACTTGCGAAAAAATGTGCTGGGACCACTGTTCCTAAGGGGTCCGACAGTTTGCTGTATTTGGCAAATTGTCAAAAAATATATATATAAAAAAAAGGAGAATTAATTTGTAAACTTAATTAAGAATTTAAGATATTATATTTATTTGATTAATTATAAATTTTAATATTAGGTAGAACCCAAATTTTAATCAATAAGTCTCTAAATTAAGTATTTTTTGTGTCAAAAATTAAGTTTAAATAATATTTTTTATCCATAAGATACGGCCACAGAACTGATAAAAAATTGGATATTGATTTATAATTGTAAGTTTTAGTTGATTATATTATATTATATTATTAATTATAAAAAAAAAATTGAAGGAGTCCTGCATTAACGGGGTCCCACTTGTGAAAAAATGGACGTGGGGACCACTGGGGATGTGGAGCCCAACAGTTTGCTGTGTATGGAAAATTGTCCAGCTTTGTGGCCTGATTAATATTAGATTGGTCCCCCAGGCAACATGGAAGGATATGAAAGACTGTAGTGCGTATGGATAGATGGTCCCCCACCGTACACCTACTGGGTTATTGCAATGGCTTTGCCGTCAGGGCCACGGCAGTGCACTCAGCAACAAAAGCAAAAAGGGCTTACGTAGTTTGGTGGGCCCAATTTTTTATTGTCCAATCAAAGATTTATTTTATTCATCGAATTTTGATTTAAATGAATATATAAAATAAAAATGAATTTATAAGAATTCGGTCAGGTAAACGCAGTATGTCACTATCAAAACTC